GATCCTCAGATCTCAGCCTCCTGAGTAGCTAGGATTACAGGCGTGAGTCACCAGCGCCCGGCTTAATACTTCTTTTATGTTCCTCAAAAATACTTTTGAGTTTTATATATGGAAAGTCTGTTGTTTTATGCACTTGTATCATATCAGTTTGTTTTGTTTTATTTTGTTTTGCCAGCCCTGGATTTTGCCAGTTCTACAGGCATGAGACAAAGGTGCCCATCTTCATATTGTTATCCCCCCCCCCCAGTCCTGGGGCTTGAACTTAGGGTCTGGGCTCTGTTCCTGAGCCTCTCTGTGCTCAAGGCTAGCCCTCTATCACTTGTGCCCCAGCACCACTTCCGTTTTTTTCTGTGTATGTGGTACTGAGGAATCGAACCCAGGGCTTCATGCACACTAGGCAAGCACTCTACCACTAAGTCACATTCCCCAGTCCCTTTATTGTTATTTTAAATAAAATGTTTTTACTTTGTTCTATTTTAATGCTGGTCCTTGGGCTTGAACTCAAAGCCTGCATGCTGTCCCTGAACTCTTTTTACTCTTGGCTAGCACTGTACCACTTGACCTATACCTCCACTTTTGGGTGGTTAATCAGAGATTAAGAGTCTCAAGGACTTTCCTGCCCAGGCTGGCTTCGAATTGCAATCCTCAGATCTCAGCCTCCTGAGAAGGAGGTTGTGAGGCACTGACACCTGGCTGAGTGTTGTTTCTAATTTCATGTTCTTCCATCCATTCCAGATTCAGGCATCTTCAGGGGAAAACAAGTATACCGGCACGATGGACTGTGCAAAGAAACTGTATCAGGAGTTTGGGATCCGCGGCTTTTACAAAGGAACTGTGCTCACTCTAATGAGAGGTAATCCTTGAGGCTTTCTAATTGTGGTCACCTGAGGAGAATCTGCCACTAAAAGGTCTTTTACTGGGTTGCCCAGTTCACGTCGGCACAAGGCAAACCTCTGGTAATACCAGCAACGTATATCCTGGTACTTGGAGTATATCCATGGGCTGCTTGAGTAGATATATCATGGGTGACTACATGTAGGAAACTATTTTTAATTAGTCATGGGACTTGAATTTAGAGCCTGAGCGCTGTCCCTGAGCTCTTTCACTCAAGCCTAGCACTCTACCACTTTGAGCCACAGCGCCATTTCTTGTTTTCTAGTGGTTCATTGGAGATAAGAGTCTCACAGACTGGGGCTGGGAAGGTGGCTCAGTGGTAGAGCACTTGCCTTGCATGCCTGAGGTCCTAGGTTCAATTCCTCAGCACCACAT